ATTTAAACATCCTGGGCCCCTAGGCGAATATTTTGCCTAGTATTACACGTAAGCTTATATTACATGTATTTCCGAGCGTACTGCTGGTTGAGGCGAGAGCGCGGCATACATGGTGATAAAGTTATATCCATATTTACCTGTATGGGCAGAAGGCATATTCGGTATGCATTTTGCTGTGCGTGCAAAGATATGTAACTTAATTTGCGGGTTTGAGGTTGTATGTGCTTTTCATACATTGTATACGGTTGTTTCTTTATAATTTTATTATCTGTTTGTTTGTTTAAATTTCTTTACCATCGGTTTATTACGGTTAGCGACTCACGCCTGGCTCAGATATGGCCAGAATGGGTCTCCTTGAAACCTTGAAGAGAGATCTGTGAGAGTGAGATTGTGATTTTCGCTCACTTTTTGAAGGAGATTTACAACTTTACAAGTGTTTCATAAACTACCTATGAGAGCTCTTAGATAGATGCGATAAGTGCGACCTTTGCTTTTGTAAGTCTGGTGCTTCACTGTATCACATTGCAAGTATGGTGATTCTTAACTTTAATTTTGAATTGTATTTGATTATGAAAATTTAGGCAACTATGAGGCACTATAGTAAGAGAAGTGTCGATTTTGGATATTCTATGACAATTACTCAGTTGCGGACGATATTATGTATGGAAGTGGGCGATTGTCAAGAATCGGTAGATTCTGATATCGTTAAGATGTTTGAGGATTAGACCTTTTCTAAGTGAAGAAGAATTAGGATTTTGCTTGTATCATAATTGGCGAAGCCATCCTGCGGGGTCAAAATGTTATTGCGGATAATGCGGATATTATTCAGTAGGATATGAAGCTGATCAGATATCGCATTCCATTGGATCCCTGTATTTTTATGTTGTACTGCTTTTCAAATTTAAGAAATTAGTGTACAACAAATTTTCTTTTCGAATACTTAGTAATAAATCTCGATGATTTGGTTGAATTATAGATATTGTGTTTTAACACTGGGGTTGTCAGAACAAACTCTCACATGGTTTTGTTAATTTGTAGAGTGTTGGAAGTTTGTGGCTTTGGTGGTAGTCGTACGACGCTGGCCATTATTTGATCGAGTAGTTTTGGCTTTGTAGAAGTCTTTACAATACTGATCTTTGGGGTTGTAATGATATGAGGGGGTTTTCTAACTCCCGAAGTTTCTTAATGTGAATGAAGGTATTCTTTAGAGTATTCTCAAATTGAGTTGTTGTTGTGGAAACTGGTTCTGTAACTAGATCCACTTAGGATCAACCGAAAATAGTATTTTGAATAGTTTGTTTGAAATTTTCAACACCCTCGAGTATTATCGAGGTATGAGATCGCCGCTCAATAGAATGTCTATTTGAGCGGGGTGTTGCAGTGGATCTACTTTAGGTGTGAAACCTTTGCCAATGCTTGTTATTTATATGATAGCTTGGAAGCATATTTTAGTTGCGGTAAGACTATAGCTCTGCTTTAATTCTCTTATCCGCTTTGAAATTAGTGTTTGCACTAACTTAATATTATTTACGCTACAAAATTTCGCGATTTTTTCCAATGCTTCAAGCTTGCTTCCAATCTTCAATGGCAAAATCAGCTATAGACGCCCTTATTAACTCCTGACGAATGAAATTTGTGTCAAGACCTATTGTTCTGTCAGACTTTTATGGCCTTGTTGTTGCAAATTGAGTTTCTGAAACAAAACTAGTTGTATTAATAATAAGATTACTTACGATCTATTTTTAATATATCCAATATTTCAGAACTTTCACTGCACTGCACGCAAGCATTTTCAAATTTGGTTGGTGGAGATGAGCTAGAACAGTTGTTCTTAAAGACACTCGAACACCGATACATTGAACCGTCTTTGAGTTGTGTTTTAAAGCAACTGGTTCTAAACCAAATTCGAAATGATTGTGCAGAAATATTTTTGGACTGGTTCTTTATATTAATGCATAGGTGTTAACTGGTTTTGATCTGCAAACAAAACAATGGGACTGTTTCGTTTAATTTTCGTCTTATCATCAATAGTTTATTTGACTATCGATGTTTATGCCTTAACTAGATTTACCAACAATTTTCATAAAATTTCAAAATTTCACATAATATAGTACATAACGACATAGTCTGGTAATTCCAGATGTGAATGTAATTTTGACATATGGTAGCGTAAATCATCTTTTCATTTTAATTGTTAGTACTGAAAATTTTCAAATAATATTCAAATTATTATATTGAACTATTTTTATACTTTAATAAGTGTTGGGTGTGTTTTGAAGAATGTCGCGGAATATTTACAAAGAGTTAAGTATTTCTACCTCAAATATACTACTCCTACTTAGTATACGTGCAGCCGTAATTCAGAATTTTCGTAGCCACGGTTTTCCAGTATATTAATAAGAATTAAAAACTGTGGAAAACAACAATTGGAAAGAAGAATTTACAACATTTTATTTAATACTTATGATATTGGAGAACAAAGATGAAAATGAAACATACAGTCTGTTGCGGCCAACACAATATATTATGTAATACACCCAAAGATAGCCTACAGTGCATATAAACGAATATCATTTGATTAATTATGCTATAATGTTAGCACTCACCAATGACATTATTTCTTCCATTTTTCCACAAAACGCTTTTTAAAATTAAATGTTCTTTACTTTTTATTAAATGTTAATTTTCAAAACTTTTTATTGGTTTAACATTTTTGATAAAGATTAATCACACGGTTTTAAGTCCAGAAAGTGTTGACGGTTGGTAGCGGAGATAACGATTTTACGATGACGTTGCGCAAAGAGATCGGAATTATTTCGAATGTTTAAGGTTGATGTGGCGCTAGGCCCGTAGACGAAAACGAATGATATATAGCGAATGAGAAATGGTATGTTGTGTTGTCTGTGTGGTGTCATCTGGTGGGGTGAAATTCCTTGAGTGTTCACAGGTGTGGTGTGTTTCATTAAGGCGTGTCAGTTTTCCCGTAGAGTGTTGCACTTGGAGGAGGAGTTTAAACTCATTAAACATCCTGGGCCCCTAGGCGAATATTTTGCCTATATTACACGTAAATGCTTATATTACATGTATTTCAGAGTACTGCTGGTTGAGTAGCGAGAGCGCGGCATACATGGTGATAAAGTTATATCCATTACCTGTATGGGCAGAAGGCATATTCGGTATGCATTTTGCTGTGCGTGCAAAGATATGCTAACTTAATTTTGCGGGTTTTGAGGTTGTATGTGCTTTTCATAACCATACGGTTGTTTCATTTATACTTATTATCTGTATTGTTTGTTTAAAATTCTTTACCATCGGTTTATTACGGTTAGCGACTCACGCCTGGCTCAGATATGGCTTGTATCGTCTTTGAAACCTTTGAAGAGAGATCTTATGAGATTTGGATTTCGCTCACTTTTGAAGTGAGATTTACAACTTTACAAGTGTTTCCATAAACTACCTGCATGATGACTCTTAGATAGATGCGATAAGTGCGACCTTTGCTTTTGTAAGTCTGCTTCACTGTATCACATTGCAAGTATGGTGATTCCTTAACTTTAATTTTGAATTGTATTTGATTATGAAAATTAGGCAACTATGAGCTATATAGTAAGAGAAGTCGATTTGTGGATATTCTATGACAATTACTGTATGTTGCGGACGATATTATGTATGAAGTGGCGATTGTGGCCAAGATCAGATTCTGATATCGTTAAGATTGTTTGAGATTGAGACCTATTTTCTAAGTGAAGAAGAATTAGGATTTTCGCTTGTATCATAATTGGCAGAAAGTCATCCTGCGGGTCAAAATGTTATTGGGATAATGCGGATATTATTCAGTAGGATAGAAAGCTGATCAGATATCGCATTCCATTGATCCCCGGTATTTTTATGTTGTACTGCCCTTTCAAATTTAAGAAATTAGTGTACAACAAATTCTTTCGAATACTTATAATAAATCTCGATGAGGTTGAATTATAGATATGTGTTTTTACACTGGGTTGTCAGAACAAACTCTCACATGGTTTTTTGCCAATTTAGAGTGTTGAAGTTTGGTTTTGTGGTAGTAGACGTACCCATTATTTGATCAATAGTTTTGGCTTTGTAGAAGTCTTCTAATACTGATCATTGTTGTAATTGATACAGGGGCGTTTAACTCCGAAGTTTCTAATAGAATGAAGGTATTCTTTAGAGTATTCGTCAAATTGAGTTGTTTGTGGAAACTGGTTCTGTAACTAGGATCCACTTAGATCCAACCGAAAATAGTATTTTGTGCCATAGTTTGTTTGAAATTTTCAACACCCTGAGTATTATCTGAGGTATGAGATCGCTAATAGAATGTCTATTTGAGCGGGGTGTTGCAGTTGGATCTGCTAGCTTAGGGTGAAACCTTTGCCAATGCTTGCTATTTATATGATAGCTTGAAGACATTTGTTAGTCGGTAAGACATAGCATTCTGCTTTAATTCTTATCCGTTTGGGAAATTATTAGTTGTATAACTTAATATTATTTACGCTTACAAAATTTCGCGATTTTTCCAATGCCTTCGCTTGCTTCCAATCTTTCAATGGCAAAATCAGCCATAGACGCCCTTATTAACCCTGACGAATGAAATTTTGTGTCAAGACCTATTGTTCTGTCAGAGCTCCATATGGCCTTGTTGTTGCAAATTGAGTTTCTGAAACAAAAACTAGTTGTATTAATAATAAGATTTACTTACGATTCATTTTTTTTAATATATCTCAATATTTCACGAACTTTCACTGCACTGCACGCAAGCATTTTCAAATTTGGTTGGTGGAGATGAGCTAGAACAGTTGTTCTTAAAGACACTCGAACACCGATACATTGAACCGTCTTTGAGTTGTGTTTTAAAGCAACTGGTTCTAAACCAAATTCGAAATGATTGGTGCAGAAATATATTTTTTGGACTGGTTCTTTATATTAATGCATAGGTGTTAACTGGTTTTGATCTGCAAAACAAACAATGGGACTGTCGGTAGTTTAATTTTCGTCTTATCATCAATAGTTTATTTTGACTATCGATGGTTTATGCCTTAACTAGATTTACCAACAATTTTCATAAAATTTCAAAATTTCACATAATATAGCTACATAACGACATAGTCTGGTAATTCCAGATGTGAAGTCTAATTTTGGATGACATGGTAGCGTAAAATCATCTTTTCATTTTAATTCGTTAGTACTGAAAATTTTTCAAATAATATTCAAATTATTATATTGAACTATTTTTTATACTTTAATAAGGTGTTGGGTGTGTTTTGAAGAATGTCGCGGAAATATTTACAAAGAGTTAAGTATTTCTACCTCAAATATACTACCTCACTTAGTTATACGTGCAGCCGTAATTCAGAATTTTCGTAGCCACGGTTTTCCAGTATATTAATAAGAATTAAAAACTGTGGAAAAACAACAATTGCAAAGAAAGAATTCTACAATACATTTTATTTAATACGTATGATATTGGAGAACAAAGTTATGAAAATGAAACATACAGTCTGTTGCGGTCAAATTTCACAATATATTATATGTACATACACCCAAAGACTAATGCCTACAGTGCATATAAACGAATATCATTTGATTAATTATGCTATAATGTTAGCACTCACCAATGACATTATGTCTTCCATTTTTTCCACAAAACGCTTTTTTTTTAAGGTTTAAATTAAAATGTTCTTTACTTTTTTTTATTAAATGTTAATTTTCACAAACTTTTTATTGGTTTAACACTTTTTTTGATAAAGATTAATACCACGGTTTTAAGTCCAGAAAGTGTTGACGGTTGGTAGCGGAGATAACGATTTTTTACGATGACGTTGCGCAAAGAGATCGGAATTATTTCGAATGTTTAAGGTTGATGTGGCGCTTAAGCCCGTAGACGAAAACGAATGATATATAGCGAATGAGAAATGGTATGTTGTGTCCTGTGTGGTGTCATCTGGTGTGGGTGAAATTCTTGAGTGTTCACAGGTGTGGTGTGTTTCATTAAGCGCGTCAGTTTTCCCGAGAGAGTTTGCACTTGGAGGAGGAGTTTAAACTCATTTAAACATCCTGGCCCCTAGGCGAATATTTTGCCTAGTATTACACGTAAATGCTTATATTACAGTTATTCAGCGTACTGCTGGTTGATAGCCGAGAGCGCGCCTACATGGTGATAAAGTTATATCCATATTTACCTGTATGGGCAGAAGGCATATTCGGTATGCATTTTGCTGTGCGTGCAAAAGATATGTAACTTAATTTTGCGGGTTTTGAGGTTGTATTGCTTTTCATACTAATGTATACGGTTGTTTCTTTATAATTTTATTATCTGTATTGTTTAAAATTTCTTTACCATCGGTATTACGGTTAGCGACTCCACGCCTGGCTCAGATATGGCCAGAATGGTGCTCTTTGAAACCTTTGAAGAGAGATCTTGCGAGAGTGAGATTTGTGATTTTCGCTCACTTTTTGAAGTGAGATTTACAACTTTTACAAGTGTTCCCATAAACTACCCGTATGAAGAGCTCTTAGATAGATGCGATAAGTGCGACCTTTGCTTTTGTAAGTCTGGTGCTTCACTGTATCACATTGCAAGTATGGTGATCCTTAACTTTAATTTTGAATTGTATTTGATTATGAAAATTTAGGCAACTATGAGGCACTATAGTAAGAGAGTGTCGATTTTGGATATTCTATGACAATTACTCGTATGTTCGGACGATATTATGTAAGTAAGGGCGATTGTGTCAAGTATCGGTAGATTCTGATATCGTAAGATTGTTTGAGGATTGAGACCATTTTCTAAGTGAAAGAATTAGGATTTTCGCTTGTATCATAATGGCGAAAGCCATCCTGCGGGGTCAAAAATGTTATGGGATAATGCGGATATTATTCAGTAGGATATGAAAGCTGATCAGATATCGCATTCCATTGGATCCCCTGTATTTTATGTTGTACTGCCTTTTCAAATTAAGAAATTAGTGTACAACAAATTTTCTTTTCGAATACTTAGTAATAAATCTCGATGATTTGGTTGAATTATAGATATTTGTGTTTTTAACACTGGGGTTGTCAGAACAAATTCTCACATGGTTTTGTGCCAATTTGTAGAGTGTTGAAGTTTGTGGCTTGGTGGTAGTCGTACGACGTACCGGCCATTATTGATCGAGTAGTTTGGCTTTGTAGAAGTCTTTACAATACTGACTTTTGGGTTGTAATTGATATGAGGGGCGTTTTTCTAACTCCCGAAGTTTCCTTAATTGTGAATGAAGGTATTCTTTAGAGTATTCGTCAAATTGAGTTGTTGTGTGGAAACTGGTTCTGTAACTAGTCCACTTAGGATCACAACCGAAAATAGTATTTGTGCCAATGTGGTTAAAATTTTCTCAACACCCTCGAGTATTATCTGAGGTATGAGATCGCTGCCTAATAGAATGTCTATTTGAGCGGGGGTGTTGCAGTTGGGATCTGCTAGCTTTAGGTGTGAAACCTTTTGCCAATGCTTGCTATTTATATGATAGCTTGGAAGCATATTTGTTAGTTGCGGTAAGACTATAGCTTCTGCTTTAATTCTCTTATCCGCTTTGGGGGAAATTAGGGTAATGGGGCAGATTTTATTTGAGTCTTGGACTACTTTTCCGCCCATTCCCGTGATTTCAAAGTTGGCTTGTTTTGTTGGCAGTTGTAGCCTATTTTGTGCCCTAGACGCTATGAAAGATCGTTGTGATCCTTGGTCTATTAAGGCCCTAAGTTTAAACAGCTCTCCTTGGTGTTCGATGGAGATGACTGCTGTGGGTAGTAATATGCTGTTTTGTATTTCGCTGTGTAGCGTTTGAGTTTTTAATGCCTTTGAGCAACTTGGTGTCTTTTGGTAATTTTCGGCATTTTGGTTTTTGGGAGTTTTGGTTACCACTCAACCTGTGATTCTTTTGGTATAAGCGCCTCAGACGGTTTAAAACCGTAATCAATCTCCCGAGGAACAAATTTCGGATTCTGGTCGCGTTCTACACCGGACATTGCAGGCTTAACAAGCATTTATTTAACATGGGCTTGGTCTCCTCTGCAAACTGCCGGTTCTGCGACATGGAGTCGGAAACCCCAGAACACCCACTAATGGACTGCACAGCAGTCTGCAGACGTAGAGTCAAGGCCCTGGGATCCATGTTTCCAAACAGGGATCTCATCGCCTCATTGGCACCTAGCAGTATATTGGAGTTCATCAATATGCTAGGGCTAGATGAGTCGCTGTGACTTAGGGGAGGGCACAATAGACCATAGGTCACGGTGCATACCTCAATCATTATCTAAGCGCTTCTTTGGGGTGGTATGGGTAATTTGCTGTAATGAAGCATTGAGTTGTGTCTTTTGTGACAATATAAGCAATTGAATTTGCTTTTGCAATTTTTATATGTATGCGCATGTGACAAGCAATTTGTACATCATTTTTTTGATCTCACGAAATAGTTTCTTTCTATAATTTTTAATTTTTTGAATTTCTCGCAAGATTGTAGTTTATGCCCTCTCGTGCATAGTTCGCATGACGTATGATTGTTCTGTTCAGATGTCAACGATTGCGTTTTGTACAAGCTTCTATTTAATATGTTTTTGCTACTAGCTTGGGGTCTATTGAAGCTTTTTTTAGGTCGTGTTGTACAATTTTTGTTTTAATTAGCTTTCTTGTCTACCCTTTCAGCGATTTCGTACTGGGTAGTAAGAAAGTCTTTCATTTGCGCCACGTGGGGCATTGCTTCGTGATGAGAGCGATTGCTCCCATAGAAGTAATGATTTTTCTGGTAATGCGGCAGTGCATATGTTTACCAGTATAGGGTCCCAGCTGTCTTTGGGAATATTCTGTGTCGATAAAATCAGATTCTACGATTGCGTCATATGCAGCTTGGAGACGTGTCCAAAAATTGTCAAGATTGTCTTTTTTAATTTCTAATACCGATTCAGAATTGTCCTGAATCGGCGAAGATGTAAATGGAGTGCAGTATCGTATTAGACTATCACTCTCTGCAATGAATTTGGTATATGAAATGTCTTTTATCTTTGTTTGTTTTGTAGCACCTTGCTTTGAGCGTGTATCTTCTGCAGATGTACATGGACTCTTTTCGTCCGAAATCATTTTTGGTACTTTTAGATGTTGAATTGCTTTAGAGTCCTTAGAATCTGCGTTCATTTAAAAAGATGAAAGTAAAATTAAAAATTTTAATTTTTTGTTTGTTTAGATATATTTTATCTATTTTTTCACTCAGTGTACACTGATGATATTGGATAAATGAAGAGATTACCTTTTAGATAAATAGTATTTTTTTTTTGTTGTATCCGGACTTCGCCAATAACAAACGCGTATTTCGTTTTTCTTATTATCGGGTTTTATTTAGTTCCGCGTTTTGTTTTTCTCTCTTTGTATTTTATAATTTATTGTTACGTACTCGCTTGTATGTATTTTAATTGTGTATATTACCGCTTTTTAAAAATGAGGTTATTAACCTTTGTACATAAGCGTGCACGTTATGTGCGTATTTATGTGCATATGTAACATGCTTAGAAGTTTTGTTTGCAATCCTGCTTGTTTGTGTTTTAACAAGAACAAGGGGTATTGCCAGAAAAGTGAACTTTGTCTTTATTTTTTCGTTTGTTAAACCGATTGTTCTTGTGCCCTTGTTTTTTGTTGTAATAAATTTTAATTCTGTCTAAAAATTTAATAATTCCTACTTATGTACCGCAACGCTTAGTGTTCGGAAATTTTGTTATTATTACGTATAAAGTCTTTTATTATTAGCAATAGTTTTAACTAAAATAATTTTAAATATTGTACCCAATGTGTGTAGGGTATACAGACATAGGCAAATTTTAAGCCGTGTGTATGTATGTATATGCTTGTTAGGTTGGCTAGAGGAATGACGCGGGAAAAGAAAATAAATAATGTGCAGGTACACACTTTTTAGTTCGTATCGTTCGTGTATATTATATGTTAAAAATTATTCTCTTCGTAACTTTGTTATTTACGTATATATAAACGTATATTAAATGTAATATATGTAGTATATAGATTTGTAAGTACTTGGCAAGTAATCGTACAGATATGTATGTATGTTTTTCTTTCTTTTTTTTATACTCTCGCAACCTGTTGCTACAGAGTATAATAGTTTTGTTCACCTAACGGTTGTTTGTATCACCTAAAACTAATCGAGTTAGATATAGGGTTATGTATATATAAATAATCAGGATGAAGAGACGAGTTGAAATCCGGGTGACTGTCTGTCCGTCCGTGCAAGCTCTAACTTGAGTAAAAATTGAGATATCTTTATGAAACTTGGTAGACATTGTTCTTGGTACCGTGAGACGGTTGGTATTGCAGATGGGCGTAATCGGACCACGCACCGCCACAAAACGCCATTAATCAAAACAAATAACTTGCCATAACTAAGCTCCGCAATAAGATATAAGACTGTTATTTGGTACACGGATCACACTGGGAGGGGCATCTGCAGTTAAAACTTTTTTTTCAAGTGGCGTGGTCCCGCCTCTAATAGGTTTAAGTGCATATCTCCTAAGCCGCTAATGCTATAATAACAAAATTCACTAGAAGCAAATGTGTTTTAGCACTTCTATTGACGTGTGAAAATAGTTGAAATCAGGTGGCAACTCCGCCCACTCCTCATATAACGGTACTGTTAAAAACTACTAAAAGCGCGATAAATCAAGCACTAAACACGCCAGAGACATTTAATTTTATCTCTGAGATGGTATAAATGGCTTTATAGGAACCGCGTTTAAAATTAGTCAGTAGCGTGGCACCGCCACTTTTAGGTAAAACCCATATCTTGAGATCTGCTCAACCGATTTCAACCAAATTCGGTGCGTTCTTTTCATGTTTTATATCATAGTGCGAAATGGGCAAAATCGGACTACAAACACGCTTACTTCCCATGTAACACCATTTTCAATTCCATCTGATTCTTTCACTTTCCACTATGCAAATCAGGTAACAATGATTATATCGGGGTAAAATTTGCGTGAATAATGCAATTAAAGTATGCCACCTTGCGGCCAAAATTGTCTAAATCGAACCAAAACTGTTCAAACCCCTAAGTACTAAATATATGGACCCCATTGCCTATAGTTGACCTCTACCGAAAATATCAGTCAATCCACAAAGAAATCTCAAACGAGTATACCATTTGACTTTGCGAGAGTATAAATGTTCGGTTACATCCGAACTAGCCCTTCCTTACTTGTTTTCGTTTGAATTTTATTTATTTTCCAATATAAGCCTTGCTTACTTATTTTGCGCATCTGCTTATGATTTATTAAACATAAGGGTATTGCC